CTGGCACCATGACAGCCAGATGGGAATTTTGGTTACATCACGTGCAAGTTGCTGCATCCCACCAGCTGCTGCTTGCTGGAGCTGTTTTCCTTAATGAGGGTTCTCTTGTTGGGAAAGAAAAGATTTCAATTTGTCAGTCAACAACTGTCAAGATAAATCCATCTTCAATGGCATCACAACATCCCAGGGGATCACCAGATCGTGTTTCACAAAGCCTTTGCAATGAATCTCCCCAAATGCAACTTTTCCTGAAAAATAAAGAAATAACTTCCAGGTGCAAATCCAGCTGCTGAAGCAGGATTTCCTGCACAAACTCTGTATGACCAGCTCTCACACCTCACTTCTGAGAAATCATTTCAGCAACCTGCAGGTACAAGGAACACTGAACAACGTGGATCCACAAACCTTCACTGCTCCTGCAAATGATGGTTCCAAACACCTTGTAATAAATCAAAAAACTTTATTTTGAAGATATATTATAAATGTACAGCACACACAACATCAGTGTCTGGGGTTATGTGTGAGCAGGTTTCAAGCCTCAGCATTCATTCCAGCCCTGGCCGTGGGTTCCACATCTCCACACAAAACAATTCCAGCCTGAACAGGTCTGGCTTTGCCAACACCTCCCTGACTTCCAGGAATATATTTCAGAACACAACAGCAACTGCTTAAAATGATCACAAATTAGCAGCATTCCTTGCTTTTGGCCTGGAGGATTTCTGCAGGGAGCAAATCCTGCTGGTTTTCCTGCTCAGGGAGAGGTCAGTGACCTACACGAGCGTGGCCAGAATGAATCCTGAATTCCACAGGCTCAGGGATGTCTGCCCTAATTTAAGCTTCAGAAAAGTAATGTTACACCTTAGGAAGAGCTGTGCATGCCACACACCGGTATCAGAGCCAGATCAAAGTTATCTATGCTGTACCTAATTGTTGTATACACAGGTGAAATGAAAAAATGTGAAGTCAGTACCTTGCAATGTAATTTGACTGGTGCTGCCTCGTGGGAAGTGCTGGGTAGCAAATCACATTCGTGTACAGTTCATTAAGCCATGATAAAAATATGCAAATTAAAAATCTCTACAGGCCTCTGTTACCTGCTGCAACAGAGACACTTGGGTTTGTGGGGCTTCGTTTAAAACGTGATCCAATTTCCTCCCTCTCCCCAGAGCACGATATAAAACTATACCCAAATTCAGTAAGAATTTAATGCATTTACATTTACTGAAGTTCACATGCTGCAAACAGGATCTGCATTGAAGATCTTCAAATCTAGGGCAAGAAGTCCTTAAAAAAACCCCTTTTGCTACACCTGGATGTGGGGATGGAGGTGAGAACCACCATGAGAACATTCACATGGACGTGACACCCCGTGCAGGGAGCTGGGGATTGTCCCCCACTGCCCTGCCACAGCCAGCACAAATCCTTCTGAACAGGAGCTGTCCCAGAGAGGGGGATCCAGGCAGGATCTCCAACCCCAAAGCTCCAGGATTCCCAGTGGGATGGAAACACCAGCTGGAAGCGCCGCTGTTCTGTTCTTTAATAAAAATGGTATTTATTATTAAAAGTAGAAAATCAGGGTGGTTACTTTGGATGAAACACTGGCTGTCCTGTGCCTTTGGGAAAATTTGCCCAGACTGGAGCAGAGATCACAGTAAGCTGTGCCTCTCCCACAGGCAATGTTTGCTGACAGTGTCACTGTTATACATTCGTTTGGTGCAATGCTTATTTTGGTGTGAACACCTATAAAATGTAACAGTCCTAACTAAAAAGGATTTCAATAACCACTAAAGAATTGCTTGGATATGAAAATCAATCTCTGAAATGCGAGTTTGGTTCCAGGAGAGGAGGAAGAAAAGGGGGAGGGTCAAAGTTTGGGTCAGGTCTATGACAGGGGCTGCCAAGAAGCAGCCACGAGCTGGAGGTGTTGGAATTCGTGCAGGAGAGAACCTCACACCTTCCCAGAGGAGGAATGTCCTGATGGCTGCTTTGGGAACTGTGCAGCTCAATTTTCCAGCTGCATGGAGAACAAAAATGTCCTTGAAATGGTGCAAAGCCCAGCAGGGTGATCCTGTGTGACCATTCCCAGGGAGGGATGCAGCAATCCCAAAGGAAGACTCATGGCCCTGCTCACCAGGAGAGGAGGGATGGCAGAATCTTTGGGCTGGACCAGGAAGAGAGGCTCAGCAGGAGAGTTACACTAGCCCAGGCTCACAGGTCAGGACAATCAAAGTCCAAGCTGTACAATAACCACTGGCCTTTTTTTTCCAAATACACCCCTTTAAATGCATCCCCCTAAAAACAGAGTATAAATACTGCCCTGAGAACAAACTTCCATATAGGACATTGCCATGAAAAATATCAGTGTTTTGATGACACAATTTTAAGTTAGATATATTTAAATAAATAGCTGGCTATTTGTAAGAGGCCTGCAACATCAAAAGGTACAAGATTGTCTGGCTACCAATGGGGTGAAGAGCAGGAACTGTAAAAATTACACTGTTAGTCACCTACCACCCCATCCCTTTCCTGCTCCAACTCACAGGCTTCCAAATATTGACCACATTAAGAGAAAATTAACTCTGACATGTCTGTGCTAGTTTGAACTTGAACACAAGGTGCAAGCACAGGACCTGAGCCTGTAAATCCTCACTGCTGGGAGCAGTTCTTCCTCACAAAATCTGCTGGTTTTATTTAACAAAAAATCTGTTTTTCAGGGATGTCTCAGAGATCCCCCAGTGCTGCAGCCAGGGACAGGACAGTTCCTCCCCAGGCAAAGCCACACACATTCCTTGTGCCCCATGGCTGCATGATCTGGCAACAGAATGGTGACATCTCTGTTTTTGCAGATTTTATAAAAACTGGGCCAATCTGTGCCTTATCAAGCACACTGGACTCAACTCCCCTCTGCATTTTCTGGGATGAAGCAGCAATCCCAGCTCTGGTGTAATTCACAGCCCAGCTCCACTGATGTCTTAATCAATTCCTTCAGCCTCAGGGGAGTTTTTGGTGGGTTTAAATCAACTCCAGTGCCCTGCTGCAAACACCACACCTCCTCAATTCTGGTCTCCTTCAGCTTTTGGCCACTGCAAACTTCAGTTCTCACAAGCCCAGCAGGGCTCTGTTAAAGCCATCCCAAACAACACCTCAGCTGTGGAAGTGCTGAGCTCTGGAATAACAAAATCCAGAAATAACCACAACTTCTCAAGCCTCCCAGCATCCTAAAATGCAGAATTCCTTTATCCCTACAGTCCCCCAACTGCTGCTGCTGACCCTGGGCACTCTCACCTTCTCTCACATAAGGATAATTTGTTTTAGTGATGCTTTTCCCCACTTTATAACCAGTTCAGTGGCTCTGAGGGGTGCTGGTGTTCCAAGTGAGGCAGCTCTGAGCACTTTGATCCCTCTGAGCTCCACAGTCCAACCGTGGACTCCTGAAATCAAACCCAGCATTTCCCAAGCCTTTACATTCCTCAGGGGCCACAACTGCACCAAAGGATCTGTTTGCTAAGTCTGAACCTCTCCTTATCCAGTCAGAAGCCAAAAAACCTCCCACCAAACTACAGGGTGGTTTTTTTTCCCAACTTTGTTCTCTAAAAACACTCATTAAAAAGAATATTAACCAGAATCCTGACTGTAGAGAAGGACATTTCTCTCTAACATTAAGAGCTTCAAGTGAAAGAGTCTTCTGGTATTATTACAGGCAAAAAGCTTCAGGTGTAAGCAAAAAAAAAAAAAAAAAAAAAAAGGATTAAATAATCAAAACCTTTCATAAGACCACAATATTCAGTCACAGCTACTCATGAGTAGCTCACTGGGGTGCAGGATCAGGCTCCTGGCTTCAGTTACAGGACAAGGTTATAATTTCATGTCATGCTGTCAGTCTATTCTTAGCAAGAGCCCACAAAAATGGTTTTACTGTCCAATTTGGACAGAAGAAGCATCTCTATAAAGCTTGGAATTTTTAAATGTAAAAGTGAATATTTCAGCAGTCATCAACTGTAAACCTTAATACGAAATTACAAAATAAAAAATGAAAGGATCCTGGGATAGTAAGACAAGATAAAATCTCAAGCTGTTTTGATTTCCCCACCCTTCATATTAATTATGAGAAATTGGCAACTTCAGTGCCTCAGCTGCATAACAGCACAGAGCAGATGCCAAGTTCAGGCCAAAACTTGTTGTAGGGTTTCGGGTTGCATCTTGCTGCATTTTTGTTTAAAAAAATCTCCAACTGCACAGAAATCCCTCCCACACCTCAGAGGAGATGGCAGAGCTGCTCAGGAGCTCCCTGTTGGACAGGACACCTTTGTGCTCTTTAAGGACAGGGTTCCCACCTGGTTTCTCTGCAAGATTTGCCTCTTCTGCTTTTCCTGCAGGGCTGTGAAACACAAGGCATGGCAGGGATGATGACAGATGTCAATCATGTTTCATTAAATTGAAAATAAACTCCTTTTTTTAGCAGACTGCTAAAAAAGTAACACCTGCAGAGCCCAGTCATAAACACCAGCTGGATATTCACAGTGAGTTCTGTTCTTAATAGCTCAGAATTCCTCTCTGAAACCTCAAGTCAGTCTTCTGGCAAAATAGGAAAGATTCAGTCTGACATTCTTAGTATGACCATGGTAAAAATAATTATAAAGAAAACCCACTTCTAACTCAAAGATAGCAATTGCAAGCGTGCTTTAAATACCTTAAACAAGATAAAAACCTGTGATTCTTTACAGAACACCAGCAACCCCCTCCCCATGCAATTCAGCTGCTTTTTTTTTTGTAAACAGAATAAAACCCCCACAAGCCCCTTGCCAAAACTGTGCACATAAAAATGGGAAAAAAAAAAAAAAAACAAAAACCAAACCTATGTGAACATATCCTTCCTTGCAATGGGATATGGCAGAGTGTGAGCTTAGGAATTGCAGCCACTTGGGAATCCAAGTCTTGATGTGGTGAATTCTGTGGTGAAAGAGATCCTGCACCTTTATGGTACCTGACAGAAAATTTCCTGCAAGTACAACTCCAGTGGGACTGCAACAACACTAATGCAGCAAATAAATAGGAAAAAGTAATGCTATTTATTAGAATTCCATCTCTGAATGATTCTGCTTAAATTAGAATGCCAGATAAACAAGCTTGGATAGAAATGTGCTTGCTCTCCCAAGATTTGGGCTTTTAAAAAACGTTTCTTAAGAATCAATTTTTATTTTTTTTTTTTTAAAAAGCAGTTTTGCAATTTGATAAGAGCCATAAATTAATACTGTATGGAGATGATTAATATCCTATGCTAGTGGTCAGTGACCTTTTGTAAACACCAGCCAGATCCTAACAAAACTGGCCAGAAAACTGTCACAGGCCTTTTGAACGAGCAGTATTTCTTTCCAACAATCAGATTCTGAAGTGTTTTCACAAAACTTTTTTCCTATTTTTTTTTTTTTTTTAATATATATACTTTATTTTAAACCTAATACCTGAAAACATAAACAAATCCTCAAACCTCTTCCACTAACACTAAATCCACAAGGCAACTCACTCCTGTTGGCCTTAACTACGAAAACTCTCGTGTGAGAGACCCCCTCCAGCCAGGATCTCCCCCTCTTCCCTCCCTCCCTCCCTTCCTTCCAGCCCTTCCCAACCATCCAGGCACCCTCCTGTGGTGGTGGAGGGGCAGTGAGGGCCAGGGGGAAGTGGCACAGTGCACTGGCAGCTCCCTCTACGTGCGATTCAGTGTCTGGAAGATTCGGGAGATCTGTAACATCACCGGCCCCGTTTCGGGATCGTTCATCCACTGAGTGCTGTTCAAGGGGTTTTCAAGCATATCCTCGAAGGCTGCCAAGAAATAGGGATTGTAACAGTTAGTCCTTCAATGTTTGGGAGGTTTCAACAGCAGGACAGTGAGAAATAGCTACAGCTCAAAGGCAGTGCCCAGAAATGCTGGGGATACACACTGTGCATTCCCAAGGGTCCACAGCCCTGCATGTTGCCACAGGCTTTGTGCTTCTCTCCTTTCTCAGCACTAAATTCACTGCAGACAGTGATTAAATACTCAGCCTGGATTACAGGCCAGCCCACAAAACCTCAAGGACATTGGAGGTTGAAAAGGTAGAGCCTTAACAAATGTTTCCAGGTCTCAGTCTCCAGGATGATGCCATGAAATTTATCCATTCCTGAGCACTCTCCTGCAGCTCCACTCCTCTGATCAAAGCTTTTTCCCCATCCTAGACTGGATTTCTTGCACCAATATCCTTTTCCTCCCTGGTACAGTTCATGGAAAGAACAGTCACCCCTTGCCTGCTCCCTGTGCTGTCCCTTGGATCCTCTGCAGAGGAAATCAAGCCAGCAGAAGCAGCAGCAGATGTGCCAAAGGCTGCACAGAGCCAGCACAAGTGTAGCCTCTTAAGCCTCCAAATCTCAGCACTTTGAATTTTAATAGAAGCTCCTGAAGCCACCAGGGAAGCAGCATCTTGTTCCTCCTTCCTGGTGTCTGGAGAGTCAGGGATGTCAGAAGGGGAAAGATTGAGTGTGCAGAAAAATTACCTCAATTTCTGAACAGGCAAAGTGGTGCAAATATTTAATTAATATTCTGTCTTTACAATAAGCTTTGCTGTTTGTTTGCCTTTTTGTTCTTTTCTTTTACTGCTTCTAGTTTTGACTCTTCTGCTCATGCTGAAGGAACCAGACAGCCACTGCAAGAGCTGAGCTGCAAATCTGGGCCAGGCACTGATTTAAGCCCTTTGACAGGCACTGAGCTGAGCTCCTGGACATTTGGAGCCAGTCATCACAGAATGGGACAAAAAAAGCAGCTGCACAGTCACCAAAATGTCAGTGTTGTACCAGCCTGGCCCAAGGTCAGGGTTCATTTTCCCAGGAGTGTCAGTGCACAAAGCTCAAGTGCCATTAGTGGGAGCTGGAAGTGCCCAGCACCTCTGAAAGGCTCCTCATTAATACCTTGCTCAAGGTCATGCAACTTGCCTCCAGGAAAGCCCAAAAATAAAATCCAGATCTCCCCTTTCAGCACTTGAACTATTTTCTTTTACACAGACTCACAAGCTCAAAACTAAAGATTTATCGATATTCTGTAAGGAACTCATTAAATGCAAACCCTCATTATTAAAACCTGTGACATAAGCAATTTGCAGATGTATCATTAGGAATATATTCTCTGATGTTCATCCAAGCTTCACAAGCTCCTATAATGGCATTTCATTTTCTATTTATATTCTGAGCTGCAGTGTGGAACCCCTGTTGGAAATGAAGAGACCATTTGTTCAGAAATCAAGAGTGGGAAGGTTCTGCTCTTGAATTATTTAAAGGCTTGCAAACTCTCCTAATTACATTTAAAGTAGTATTTTTAAAGGCTCTCTTGAATGAGCTGTGCACACAGCCTTTATTTAAAAGCATTGCTTCAAATAAGTTTTGAAGCCAAAGATTAAATGCAAAACTTTTTATATCTACATGACAGAGCCAGCCATTGTTCTGTGCTGTCAAAAAGAGCAATTCCTCAGGGATTTGGGGCTCTGTCAGGCTCCTCAGCTGGGCACACACTGTGCCCACAGCTTTTCTGACCCTGAGCACACAGACTTTACCACAGAGCTCAAACCCAAGTAAGGGGAAGGGTGTTTTGCCATTTTATCTCCATTTTGATAGGCAAAGCCAACTTAGCTCAGCCTTCTTGTTTGAATACTTTTCCACAAGTTCCCTTCAGTTTCAGTGATCAGGCCTCACACACAGGGAGCTGCACAGCAGGACACAGCCTTGTTTTTTCTGTGAAATAATCAGAGTTCTAGACAGACATTCCTGATTTTTCTCCTCGTGGCCAAAGGGAACACACAAAAAGTCTCCTAAATCCACAAAAGCATTGCAGCCAGCAGCTGTTCAAGTTCTGAGTTCACCAAGTGTAATCCTGGGGAATTAGAATCATTTCTGGGACAGCCCCAAGGCCTGCCCTGGGCTCAGCTGAGCTGCAGGATGAAGCAAACAAACAGCAGGAAAAGGCTCCAGAGCTGCCCCTATCCCCCAGAGGGGGCTGTCAGCATCATCATCTCTGCTTTGATTTCCTGGCAAATCCAGCAGGAACCCACACAGGACTTACCTAGTAGAGTTTTAGGGTTGGTGAGCCCTAATTGTACCACTGGGTTTTCTAAGATGGCTTGGAAGAGAGGGCTGTTGGTGTCAATGCCCTTGTCTAAGTCCTCTGGAGAAGGTTTTCTGTCCCCCAGCAGCCACTCACACTGAAAGAAATCAGCAGGCACATCAGATTTCATCAGAACCAAAGTGTCTCTCTACTCAAAAGTTTTGCTAATGTGGCATTTTAAAAATACTTCCCCCTCTCCCAGTTAAAGCCTGAGCTGTACATTTCTTTTCACACATTCATTTGTATCATCCAACCCAATATCCTCCTCCAAAAGTAGCCAGCACTGGATACTGAGGAGAGGCTTCCCTGGCTGTCAGCTGTGTCCACAAAATTTTCCTTAATATGTAATAGGGAACTAATCAATCTGGGAAAAGTTTTGTTTTCTGATTCCAGAAACTGTGGAAGCATTGCTGCCAAATGATAATTTACACCCTGCATGGCTTAACTCTAACCTGGATCATTTATTCCTGTCCTAAACCAATTATTCTGGGGAATATTTTCTCCTTTCTCATGACAGCACAATCTCTTTTGCTGACTGCAGTGAGGGAGTTTCTCAAAAGCTTTTTGAAAATTCAGCCTCAGCCTCACAGAGCCCGAGCTCCTCTGAGGAGTCCCAACCCTTTGCAGTCATTCCAGCTGTGTATCCAATTTCAAAGAGGCACAGAATTTTTGCTCCTCAATCTTCAGCAGGAGTTAACTTTATGACAGACCAAATCATGACCCAGCTCAAGGATGAGAAGCATCAGTGGGACAGACCCTTGGAGCTGCAAGGACTTTGTACTCACAGCTGCATTTTGCTGGTTGTTGTTCACTCTGAGTGCATCCACCACCTCCTTTTCATCAAATCCCATCTCCATCAGGGCAATGACAGCCTAGAGCAGAACCCCACAGCTTCATTAATGTTACATTTAGAACAGAAATGAGAGCAATCATATCCCTTCACCTTCTGTGTGCAGCTTTATGGGAGGTAAAACTCCCCCATAATTTCCATATGCAGAGCGCTCAGTAATTTTATTAGCAAAGTTTTCAAATATTCTATATCAAAAGTGTCTTTTTTATGGAAGAAAAAAATAATATTAGGAGGTAGCTCCTACTCTCAACACTGGAAGCTGAATGCAAGGCAAAGAGCAAGTGTACCTGGGGTAGAAAAGAGAAGAAAAATGAGGAAAAAAAACCCCCTCATTTTGGAACTCCTCTCCTGTCACAGAGCTCTTGTTCACATTTCACTGACAGATCAGCCTTGATGTGCATTTGTGGTTCTATTCACCCCATCTCATTTCACTTCCCAGATTTATTATACTGCTGGTGAGTGTGATGTACTCACACAAACACACCCAGATAATGGTAGGAGAATGTTTCACTGGTTAGAAATTGCACCAAAAGCATTTGCAGCTCTTAACCCAAATCTCAGACCAGCCAGCTGGAAACCCAAGGTGCCACATGTCACAGAGCCCTTCCAGGTGTGTCCCCATTGGGAGAACACCACATTCCCACTGCAAGTAATGCTGTGTTCTGAAAAAAAGGGCAGCAAGTCCTTGCTGCAAGACTTCAATCTGCTGGTGGTACTTTTCCTTGCTCCCTAAAACAATGTTCTTCTGTCCTTTCCATAGAATCATGGAATGGTTTGGGTTGGAAGGGATCTTAGAATCATCCAGTTCCAACTCCCTGCCAGGAGCAGGGACACTTTGCTCTAGTCCAGGCTTTTCTGAGCCCCATCCAGCCTTTTCTACAGCCAAAGGATCTACTCCTGTCCTGCCACCCTTCCCTCCCAGCTGCAGTGAAAACAGCAATGCCAGGGCTCTGGAGCTCCCTTCAGTCCTCTCAGAGAGTTTCCAGGTGCAGAGGTAACAATGCCTTCCATGTAGATCCTGCTGTCCCAGACAGTGAGGTTTGAGAGGTAAAATCCCTGAATTTAAACACTCCCTAAACACCTTCACTGAAATACTGCCAAGCCAGCACAATACCCAACTAACCAGAGGTCCCCTTTCATTTATTAATTAAAACATTTATTTGTTTTATCCAATCCCTCAAGTTCCACCCACCCGTGGGTCTGGACGAAATTCTCTTTTCCTCCGGATCTTCTTGAAGATTTCCGTCAGCTCATCCTTGGCCTCTTCCCCGCCCTCCTCCGAGCTGGGACCTGCAGCTGCCTCAGCAGAGGAGGCAGCACCTTCAGCTGGGGCTTCTGCAGGAGCCTGACCTGGCAGAGGAGCATCCACAGCAGGGTCATCAGCGTGTTCTATCAACCACTCCATGGCCTGGGTCACCGACATGCTGGGACAGACACGGGAACAGAGCAGTGAGAGGGGAGAGCACAACTCCCTGTGCACTCACCTGTCCCCATGCTGGATGCACCTGCAGCTTAACAGGGCCTGAAAACACATCAGTAAAGTTTTGGAGCAAATCTCAGTTCTCTGGGCAACCACAATCGTCTCTGAATCTGGGAAAAGAGAGGCTCCAAGTCTAGCTTGGATCTGTAATCCAGATTTTGAAAGGCATTTCTGAGGGAGGCACCTCACCCTCTGCAGCATCTGCTTTGTGCCTGTTTGCAACTGGGGACAGACCTGCCAACAAAGCACGTTCTAAATTTGCATTGGAGCCACATCTCAGGTGACAACAGCTCTGCTTCTCAGGGACAGGGAGCAGGACACCATGGTGTGACACCATCACTTGCTGGGCAGTGTAACTGCTCCAGCTAAAGGATCCTCAGAGCTCCCAAATACCTCTTCCCAACAGGTAGAAAGCAAAAAGCAAAGGTAACAATAGTGCAAGGAATGTGTAATTCCGTTTGACACACAGGAATTATTGCACATTCATGGAAGGGAAAGCCTTTGCCTGTTTGGCTTTTCTGATACAACATGAAAGCTGCAGGACAGCAGGGGAGAAAGTCTTCCTGAAGCACTGGAAAAGTGTGACTGGAATATGTTGTGGACTCTTATCACCAAATTTTTTCAAGAATGGCCTAGCAAAGCCCTCTGAGGAGTGAGCTAGTACAGCTGGCTTTTCTACATAACCTCCTATTTTACTGCAGCTGCTCTCTGGACTTCACAATATTCTTGAAATTTTTAAAGATCAGCACAAAGTATATTTCTACAGCTGAAAGGCCAGTGTGGATGAGCTAAATTTGCTTTTTCTTCTGTAAAATCTGACTTTGAAAGCTGAAGAAAACATGATCTTGATGCTTGGAAACAGTGCCAGCCTGGCAGCCCAGTGACCCACAGACCTTGCAGAGCCCTGTGCCACCTGCACTGTGCCTGAGGCAGCACTTCTTGCAGTTAATGCTTTCTCCAACCTCCACTGAGGTGACCTATATAAGGAGACCAAAAAGATGCAAATGTGTGTTAAATCACAAGCATTAGTGGCAGGCAGGTGCTGGAACACTCACTGGTTCAGCCTGAGGGCTTTGATAGCTCTGCTCTCTGGGAAACCCATCTCGGTGAGCTGGCGCAGCGCGATCTCGTCCACCCTGTCCTCCTCATCCTCATCCAGCATGGCTGCACACACACAAACAAAACTGAGCTCACATCCACCCCAGGCTCACATAAACCCCCGTGTCAATGGAATGGCATGTGTTAAATTCAAGCCCCATTCTCTCTCCCATCCCTTCTTTTGTTTCTGCCCCCAGTTTGCCACCTCATCATGTAATTTGCTGCACTCAGCTCGCTCTGGCTCAGATTGATTCTTCCAGGACAAAGACTTTGTCCAGATGTGGTCAAGATCCCAAACAAAAGGCCACTAACACTCACATGACCACAGGATTTCCACACAGTTAAATGTAAGAGATTCACTGAGGATCTATTTAGCATTTCTCTAGAAATTAAGTACGATCTGGCTATAGCAGATCTCAAGGATGAGCATTTCCCACCAACCCAATTTCTCCTCATTTTACTACATTCTTGTGAATTTTCAATTATTCCTTACCATCCCTACTAATAATTTCTAAATGGAACTTCTCACCCATCCCAAAGGGGCCTTCTATATCCATGACTTTTATCCACTTTTTTTTGCCACAAAGTTTTCAGCAGCTTTGCTGCCACATCATTGTCTGAACTTCACTCTGAGCCCACTCCTATGCTCCAAAAACAAATTCCCAGGATTGAACTGGCAACTCTAAAGATAAGTTCTTACCATTTGCCTTCTTAAATAGTTCAACTGCATCGGGGTTCAGTGCTAGCAATTTCTGTGCAACTTCTATGAGAGACACTAAAATCTTCCGGAGCTCTGTCTGGAACTGCAAGAAAGGAAACTGTCAAAGCATTTAGACAGGAAGTTACCAGCCATCAGTGAATCTTAATGTATCTATTGTTAGTAACATAGCAGCAGCCTGGCCCTCTGTTCAACAAAGTTGCTTTATTTTCATTGTTTAGTCTCTCAGGAGGTCTGGGACCTTCCTGTGAAGTGTTACATGGAAGCAAAAGTTCCTGGGCAGAAAGGTCCTTTTATTTCTACCACACCCCATGGGCAGTGGTCAAGGAAAGGAAATAAACCACAGGAAACCCCTGAATTATTTAAGACTGAAGAAATAAAACCCCATAACTTCATATTTGCCTCATCTTGAATATGCTCTGAGGCTTTTTCCAAGCACAAACAAAACATTTTAAATCATAGTTTAGGACGGTATTTTATTATCACTAAATACCACGTGTCTAAACCTTAACCTATTTAATACACATTACAAACATCTGAATTTCTCTTACAGAGCAAAGAGAAGTGCATAAAAACCAACGAATAAATCAATATAAACCGGGCCGTTTGGCTATATAACTGTGTGAGCAGAAACAGAGGCAGCACTTACATCCCTCATGTTGTGGTGGGTGACGCTGCGGTCCACGCTGCGGGCAGGCAGGTTGGCAGTGGCTTTGAGGATGGCATCCTTGTCAGGAGCTTTCTGCTCCTGCTTCCTCTGCAGGGAAGGCAACAGGAGAAGCTTTCATAACCCATCAGGCACAGAACGCAGCACAGAGTTTCATATTCCTCCCCAAGACACCAAGCAGGGCTCTGTCACTGCCATGGATTAACAGCTCCAGTGTCATCCTGCAATCACAGAGCTCAGCTGGGCCTGTTGGGCTGCCCCACTTTCAGTCCTTACACCTAAACATGCAGGGAAATTCCAGCATAAATGTATCCCAGAGAACTTGGAGGCATCTGAGTTTATGTTCCATCATAAACACCATCCTGACCCTCGGGAACAACTCCAATAAAACAAAATAAAACAGCGAGGGGCAACATTCCAGCACCAGAGGCTGGTTAGAGGGTGACAAGCCACAAAGGCAGAAGACAACCTGACAGCAAGCCAACATGTTTCCTTGGGTTTTCAAACAAACTAAAGCACTTGCTGAACTGTATTTTAGTTATTAGACATTTGTTTAAAGATCAAATCTAGAAAATTTCCACAGAGTGTACCTGTGTGTTTTATTTTAAGGCAAAATGTTCTCAGAATGAAAGTTAAAAATGTAAAATCAGCTTCCTCTAAGTTTGGAAGAAATAGGAAGCAATTCCTGTAGAATTTAACTGGCAGCATCTACCTCTCCAAGGAGAGCACATCACCATTCCACAAGTCATCAGTAAAGCAATTAATCCAAAGGGTTTCAGACTCACCTTCTCCTCTGCAACCACATCTGCCATTTTGGGGAGCAGAGCTGGTGCTCTCTTCTTGACCAGCAGCAACACATCTGGGAGAGAAGGACACTGCCACAGGTTAGAGAGTCTGGGAGAGCAGCTCCTGCAAGATACCCCTCAAATTCAACTACTCCTGGGGGTTAATTTTGTATTAGTTCCATTTATTTAGCTTCCTATGTCAAAGCAGAGAGAAAATCTTAAAAACGTTTGGAATTTGCCAGATAAAGCCCAGCTCCTCCTTGCAGACTGACAGGATTCAAAGCCAGACAATCTCACCTCTGTCCTGAATGTTCTCCTCCAACACTGTTTTTGTGTCTGTCAGCACCTTCTCAGAAGTAGCATGGATCAGCTTATGATGTGTCACAGTTTTGGGATCCTCCAAGCTCCCAGGAACACACTGCAGGAGACAAGAAATACTGATCAGAAAACACAAATGAGGCTCCTTGTGAACCACTTGGCACTCAGGGTTCTCCACACACAAACTGTGCATCATTTCCTGGCTTCTCAAGAGCTTAAGCCAGAGGTCAGTGCACATAAAATATTTTATTAAAGAAAATGAGGTTTGATTTGTGCCTGTGTGAGTGCATTTGTGCTTTCTCAGGACATCTCTCTCACACTAAATTCTGGAAGTTTTGGAGATTTGGAGCAAAGCAAGGATGCTCCAGGACCCACTGCTATGTTAATTCTCATCACTGAGGTCCCTCAGAGATTTGTTTCACAAAGTAAAAATGCAAATGTACCAAGAGCAGCAGTGTTTTACAGGAGGGAAGGCTGGAATGCTGCACGTTCTCATTTGGAGTGTCCAAACAGGACAGACTCCCTGCCTCACCTCATAATTATAATTTACTCTCAGAGTAAACAAGGCACTGCCAGCAGTGATTTTGGTTTATCTGACCTTAAACTGGGCAGTTTCTGCACCTTTTTTCAAGCTGGAATCACGAGATTTGGCTGCTGGAGCCCTAACCTGGGTTAGAGCTCCTCTGCTAAAAGTGCTGAACTAAAGTTCCCTTCACAGCTCTTCCTCCCAGCCACAAATAATCAGAATACAATGGATTATTATTTTTTTTTTGTGCTCATCCCCTTATTGCAATTCTAAATTGCATGTCAATTAATTCACTGGGAAATCAGTTCAAATCCTTAAAAAAAGTGCTCACACAAGGCTCGAGCAGCCTCCTCCTCACACCAGAGTGGCTCCAGATGCACAGTGAGAGATTATTCCATCAGTGCATCTAGAGGCTTCCAATTCGTTTGAGTGCAAAAAAGAAAGCAAAGAGCTTGCAATTCCAGAAAGGCAAAATTAGAAATAACAACCTGCAATTGCTGCTGCTGCTCTCACCACAAAACAGGACACTTCATACCGACCTTGCCTGCCCTGCTCACAGCAAACAGCTTTTAATGACACTTCTAAATGTTTCTACCAAGCCACTTCCACCATGTCTGCAGAATAGAGTTCACCTTTTTGTGCAACAGAGCCATTCCCATAAATCCCACTGAAACCTTTAATTTTGGTGGAGCATTTAGTGCTGTTCAACACCAGCCTCCTGCAAAGGAGCCTTTGGAATCCATCATCACCTTTCCTGCAGCTGATGGAAAGCTCAGCTCTCTCCTGTTTCTCCAAACAAAACACTTTTGTTTCCAACACTTCCAGTCCCTCACCTGAATCTGGGCTTGGTTCTGATGCCTCACTGAGATTGAGCTGAGAATATCTGAGCCCTGCTTTGTCTACCAGGAGCTTCTCAGGGACCCTGCAGCTCCTCAAGTGCTGAACCAAGGCCAGAGAACACATTAAGAGCTGGGAGCACCTCCTGTAATGGATCTGATAAGGTGCCCAAAATGCCTGGGTACATCGGAGGAACATCTCTGCAAACAAGCTCAGAATATTCCTGTTACACATCCTGAGGGCAAGAGAAGGAAAAGGGCAGCTGGGAGCAGGGTTTGGGGTGGGCACACAGACTTATTTCCATTTCCCCCAGAGTATGTGGGGACAATCACATAATCGATGTGGGCAGTAATTAATCATGAAACTAATCAGGTGAAAGTTTAAGCAAAAAAATTAAAGTTCCGTGGACACCAATTCTTATTTCCTGTACTTCCAACCACTTTAATAACAACTGCAGAGAATAATAGGGCAGATATGGGCACTACAGACACCAAAGAGGTGCTGAGTGAAACACTTGGCTTATCTTCACATTTTAAATGCCCTGGAAATAGAAAAAAAAAACCTGATCGGCAGTGCCTTTACTCATTCTCACCTTTTCTTTTTAATTCTGGAGTTCCCAGCAGGCTGCTCTGCCTGGCAGGGGACAAACATTTGTCACAGGTGCCCAAGCAACTGCTGAAATCCTAAGCCCTGGTGATTCCAAACACCTCTTGCAAAGCTTGGAATCCTGGTCAACCACAAGGCTTTGTTTGTTTTAAAATACAAAACTTATTTTTTACTTGTTTGTTTGCTTTTAATAACAGAAATATTTGAAAATAACCCTGACACTCCCTCCTATTAAACTTGGGTGGCTTAAACCACCTGTTTAAATAAATGTTATAGCTAAGGGGAAAAAGCAGTGGGAGAGGTTTATTTCTTGGCCTAACAAAAGACCCCAAAACATCAAATTTGGGGGAAATAAAGCATTTGAAGGTTATGGAGGGAAAAGTGGCCACTTCCCCAGCTGCAACCTGTTACAAACATCTCCCTCTGCTTCCTGAAAGAATGATTTCAGAGACATTCAAGAACATAATCATCAGTCTCTTGAAAGAGGTGGCTGCAGAAATCATCTCAAGGTGTTATCAAGATTGAGTCCATAAGCAGGAGCCATGATTTTTCCAGGTCTATTTTCCCCCTCCATAAAACTATTTATTATCCATTATGGTTATGGAAATCCATCCCCGGAAGGATTTTTGCACAGAGCAGCACAGATTGAAATCAAATATCACCCTGAGTTATCAAATTGTCTCTAAACCTGCTCTCTGTCAGTGTGAACCCATTCTTCCTTGTCCTGTAAAACTCCATCTCTCTTTATCTGTTTCTTGTCAGCTCCCTTCAGGTACTGGAAGGGTTCCTGGGCACTTTTATTTCACTCAGGAAATAAAACTTTTACCCTTCAAACGTGAGTCAAGCGGTTAAAAATTACAGGGTTCTTCTCCTGTTGCACAGGTTTTATGTAAAAAAAGTCCTTGCAAGACTTTAAAGGGAAAGCCCCACACTATTAAATGTGATTTAGTGAATTGTGCTCCCAGAAGGAGCAGCTGAAGCTCCAGCTTTTCCCAGCTCCAGAGTTCCACGTCCCTCAGGAAGAAATGCAGCAGGTCAGGAGTGCAGCTGTGCTGGCCCCAGGCTCCTGGCCATGGGTCACCGTGTCACACGCTGCTCTTGTCAATCACGACAGCAAAACCTGGCTGTGCCTGAGCTTCCAGACTCAGCCCAGGGGCTCTGAAAACACCAGCTCTGCCTCTGCTCCCACAGCCTGGCACCTTGTCCTTCCACACAGCGACAAGTGAGTGACCCTCTGGCCACCTCCATCACGATCTTATTGTTTAAAGCACAGGCAGAGCATTAGAAGAGCTTTGATCTCCCCCCAAAAAAACACCGCAGCTGTTTTTGCAGGGTGAGGCTGCACTAAGATTTTAATAAAAGAGATTTTAATTTCTCCTCCTCAATTCCTACCTTCCTTCTTTGCTCAGACACAGAAACAAGCCAGGCCAGAACCCAACTCACATCCAGCAGGGGCAGGAGCCGGGGATCTCTGACACCGCTGCAAAACACACGCCAAACTCTGGAACTAAACATTAACAACTGATTTCTGCCCAAATCCTCCTTTGCCAACACAAAAAACTCTCCAAAAGGGAGTTTTATTTCCATATGGAACAGTTTCACATCATTCGGAGGGGGGAAAGCAGACACAGCAAACCAGGACACATCTGTTTACCTGAGCTGATTTTTTTCCCCTTCTTTTTAAAGCCATTTACGAGGCGTTGGAAAAAACAGTTTTCCTCACGGGACAGCTTTCCTTTCCCCTGGACTGTTAATTCCAGTGGTTCCCTCGGTCCCTGCTGATTTCCAGCCCCAGCCCCGCAGAGTTTCGGGCGCTGCCGGTGGCTCAGCCCGGTCCCGACCCGCCGCTCCCCGCTCCTTACGTGCTTCAGGCACCGCTCCTTGAGCTTCTCCACCGTGGTGTCCTCGGGCACCTCCTCCAGCCACTCGGCGCCCTCCATGGTGCACACATGGAGCCTCAGCACCTTCCCCGCAAAGATCTTCTCCTCCTGCACGAACATCGCCCCCGGTCCCGGTCCCGCCGCTCCGCCTCCGCCGCCTCCTCCGCCGCCTCAGCAGGCCCCGGGCAGCGCCGCGCGCTCCCGCCCGCCCATGAAGGTGACCCCGCCCGGCCCGGGGGAGCGGCGGCCCGGCCCGGGCGGCGCGGGGAGCGCGGCGCTGGCTGTACCCGGCACGGCCCTGCCCGGTGTCACCGCCGGTGTCACCACCCGGGCCCCGCCGTCCCTCCGGGGACACGGCGGCGCTCCCGCCGCGGTCGGAAACGGAAATGCTGGGCGCCGCCGAGGCATGGTGGGAGATGTAGTTCTACCGCTGTGGGCTCCTCCGGAAGTGAAGGCGTAGAATCCCACCCCCCTTCACGCCCCTAGGCGGGTAGTTGAGGTTCTTAATCTTTAATAAATCTTTAATAAACCTTCAGTAAACGATTAATGACGTTTAATGACGTTTAAGACCGTTTATCAACGGCTCCTCTGCGCCGCAGTTAACAAGGCGTTGCCCCGATGCATTGTGGGATCGCGGTCACTCGGGCCATCCCGGTGCGGCGCCGCCCGGTGCATGCCGGGAGTTGTAGTTCCGTCCCGCGGGGCTCGGGGGGTCCCTGTGGCGGCCCGGGCATGGCTGAGGGGTCGCGGACACTCCGGGGATACCGGGAGGCACCGGGGCGGTGCTGCTGTCCCGAGCGGGGCGGGATGGAGCGGCCGGGGCCAGCGGGAGTTCCCCCTGCGGGCCGTTAGAGGGGGCCCGCGGGCCGCCGCTTCCCGGCCCGCTCCCGTCCTGCCCCGTGCCGTTCAATTCCCGGCCAGCGGGAGCGATTTCTTTTTTTATTTTGTTTTATTATTAAAACTTTCGCTGTCTTATTCAAACCGTGTTATTTGCTACGGCTCGTGCCCGAGCTGCGCCGATCGCTTGGGTTCGGGTTTAGCAAGCGTTGCAGAGCAAAGTTTTCGCGAGTTTAAAGTACCTATATATTTAAATTAAAATCATAATTTCGCTCCAGAAGTGGCTCTCCTGCTTTCCAGCTGCACAGGTGGAGAGTGTGGGTTTCTGGTGGAGGCATCTCGGAACTCCGAGAGCCCCAAAGCACATCTGTCCCAGCTGTGCTGAACAAGAAATTCTGCAAAGCAGCCACAGGAAACACCAGGATCTGTCTGTGCCCAGCAACAACAACAAAAATCCCAGCAGATCCCACCGAAAAGAGTTTGTCCTGCTCTCTCTGCACACCACACATGCTCTGACTTGTTTTCCCACTTTTCCCTGCAGCCTGACATGCTGTGGGTTTATTTTAAGTGTTAAATACACCTTGAAATGAAAAAAGGACGCTGCAGCTGCTGAGGTTTTATGGATTTGTGAAATGGAGCTGTTCTTGTTCTGAAAATAAGAGCAATCTGTG